TATTTTTCTCAAAAATTTGAAATTATTCTAATTTTTATGTTTGGAATTTCCACTTTACCTACATTTTATTAATTTGAATTCTAATTTAGTAGAATATTTATTTGTCCGAATTATAATTTGTCAGAATGTCAATTCGATCGATTTTATATTTGCAAGAAATTTAATTTGACCGAATATCAGTTTGTAAGAAACACTTTTTTGTAGAATTTGAATTTATCAGAATTGTAACCCAGCGGGCACACTTCTCTTTTTGATAACTTCAAGTTATCGTTTTGAGCTGGTTTTGAGTAGAAGTTAACATTTTAATGCCTTTTAGTTATCGTGTGCCCCTTGGGAATTTTATAGAATATTAATATTGCCAAATCTAATTTTGGTAGAAATCTTCTTTATCACAATGATCAATGTTCGAAATTTCGAATCCTCAAAACTCCTAGTTTTATTTTTTCATAAAATGGATGCAACGTAAATATTTGGCGCAATTTTTAAAATTCTGATTTCTGATTAGTCAATTTTAAAAATTGCGCCAAATATTTACGTTGCATCCATTTTATGAAAAAATAAAATTAGGAGTTTTGAGGATTCGAACATTGATCATTGTGATAAAGAAGATTTCTACCAAAATTAGATTTGGCAATATTAATATTCTATAAAGGCGCTCTCACAGCTAGTAGGCAGCATATAAATTTGAATTTACTGTCTCTTTCACTCTAATTGATTTTCTCTCTTACTCCAATTACTGCCTGCGCAGGCAGGCAGAGCTGTGAGAGCTCCATAAAATTACAATTCTGATAAATTCAAATTCTACAAAAAAGTGTTTCTTACAAATTGATATTCGGTCAAATTAAATTTCTTGCAAATATAAAATCGATCGAATTGACATTCTGCCAAATTATAATTCGGACAATTAAATATTCTACTAAATTAGAATTCAAATTCATAAAATGTAGGTAAAGTGGAAATTCCAAAGATAAAAATTAGAATAATTTCAAATTTTTGAGAAAAAGAATTAGTGTAAACTACACGGGAAAAAAAAGTTCCCAGATATTTAAGGAATTATTTCCTAACTCTTCACGGAAAAACCTTTGAGAAGTCTGTCTTCCCACTGTCACAAAATTTCGCTTCTCACTGCATGGAAAGTCTGATCGCCCGCCACTGGGTGCGTAACATTACCGTTTTCGATAGACAAACTTCCCAAAAAGTTTAGAAAATTACAACTGGGTACGTTGGTCACCCAGTTTGGGAGTGCAGATGAACAAGTTTAGTGGTGGCGCTGACGCATAAGTTTCGGGTGAGCAGACTGCAGGTTTTTCCGTGTTGGATACGTGGTAACTACGGAAGCGCCTACGCGCCACGAGGCAAAGAGAGGAAACCTGTTTCTGCTAATGTCGTTTTAGCTTGTGAAACATAGGAACACGTTCGATGGTTCGCTGGTTCGGTGGTTCGATGATGTGATTGTTGCTAAATAAAAAATTAAAAATAACAAATAAAAATGAACCAAATTAATTTAAATTGACAATTTTAATGTAATAAAATATGTTTTAGATATTAATCACCAGGTAAATTAGTGCTTTAAAAAAAATCATATATTTTGAGGTTATAAAATGTTATGAAAAAGTAATGGAAAAAGGTCAACACACAATAACGCTTTGTCAGTTGCTGCTGTGATTAGGCCTTAAATGTGATTATATTTAATAACCTCAAAATACCTATATGATTTTTTTTAAAGCACCTAATTTACCTCGTAATTAATATCTAAAAAATATTTTATTACATTAAAATTGTCAATTTAAATTAATTTGGTTCATTTTTATTTGTTATTTAAAACTTTTTATTTAGTAACAATCAAATCATCGAACCATCGAACGTGTTCCTATAGTCCAACGCACAATAGGTTCGCGAAAGTCGTTCGCGAATGAGACACATGAGATAGACAAGGACACAAATATTTCTCTGTCCTTTTCTAACTCATGCTTTGCATTCGCGAACGACTTTCTCGAACCTATTGTGCTTAGGCCTTTAGTCTAAAACGACATTAAGGCCTTTCTCGAATAGGTTTCCAAAACTCTGCGTTTGTCTGCGAATGACTGCGTTGCTTTGATTTTAGCATGTGTTGCTATAGCAACCGACGCAGACGCAGAGTTTTAGGAACATATTGGAGAAAGGCCTTAAAGGCCTTTCTCCAATAAGTTTTAAAAAGTGTGCGAATGACTGCGTTGCGTTGATTTTAGCATGTGTTGCTATAGCAACCGACGCAGACGCAGTCATTCGCACACTTTTTAAGGCGAGAACAGAATAGCCTACGTGAACGTGTAACGTGCTGACGTCACAATGTTATTCAAATGGGTCACGTGACCACGTTCACGTTAACGTACACGTTTTCATAGGCATTCTGTTCTCGCCTTTAAAACCTATTGGAGAAAGGCCTTTAAGGCCTTTCTCCAATAGGTTCCCAAAACTCTGTGTCTGCGTCGGTTGCTATAGCAACACATGCTAAAATCAACGCAACGCAATAACAAATATTATTATTATTGTTTAAAGAAATGTGGAAATTTTTTTAATAACTAATTTATGAAACATTTTATTTTTAAATCGTTTTTATTTATATTTTTTCTTTGAAATAATTTAATAATTCCTTTAATAATAAGATTTTTTGATATTTTCAAAAGGTCTTTATTTTTATAGAATTAGTTTGTATTTTAATTAAATAACGAGATTAAGAATTCTTTATTGTATTATACTTAATTTTACTTTCATAATTATAAATTAATTGCATTTATTTTAAACTTAGAAAGTACTTAAGTTTTCTTGAAGACAAATAAAATATAATTTATTAACAATTGTAATATTGAATATAATTCTATTTTCTAATTTGAATTTCATTTAATTAATTTTTTTAATTAGCTAACGTAAAAGTTTTTCTGAATTCACGTTCATACTTTTAGAAATGATAAGACTTCTTATAAAGTTTCAAATATTACGGAAGTTTAGAAAAATTATTCCAATTTTTATTTTATAATTAATGGTATTTATATTAAAAACAGTAATATTTTGAAAAATAATTTTTTTTTTGGAAACGTAATATATAAAAAAGCAGGCTTCGCACTCATCTACTAAAATCTATACTATTTACTCCTTTTTTTGTCAAATTTCTGACACTAAATTATAATTATAATTGTTATTGAAAATTCTTTTAAACAATTGGAAATTGAAGAATGTTCGCAATGTTTTTTTAATATTAAATTACCATGTATTGATGCGCAAAACTCCAAGGATTAATTTAAAAAAAGACAAATCAGTAAACTCCAATATTATATAGAAATTGTGTAGAATTTTCTGCCAAAATGCAGCCGAAAATCGACTTTTAATCTTAAAAATCCGCTTGGAAGCGTGAAGTTTTCAACAAAACAAGAGAAGATCTTATTTATATTCGTTTGCAATTTTATTTTTTTCCTGGAGCTCGAGTCGATTGTCGTCTGCATTTTGGCAATAAAATAATTTTTTTGACAATAAATTTATATTCTTAATTATATTACAATTTTTATACTCACTTTATAATTTTTCTATAGTTATTAATAAAATTTTTCTATAATTTTTCTATAGAATAATGCAATTTGTAATTGTTTTTGTTTAATTTTTTTTGAGTGATAGGATAGATATTAATTTAGCAATAATAGAGGGGTAAATAAGGATTTTATTTAAAAAAATTGAATTGACGAATAAAGTTACAAAATTTGGTCGAAAAATTGAGATTCAATTTTAACATATTTTTTAAAACTTTTAATTACATTATTTGGCTTTAATATAATTTTTAAAATTGTAACGGTCTGTGATGCCTAATTATTTATAACTTTTTTTTATCGTCACTACATCTTAAGGCTCGATTTTAATCATCAGAGCTTCACTTTGATCAGAATCTAAAAAAAAGAAGTCACATATTTTAAGAGGTTAAAATAATGAAATATTTATAGAATTCAATACCATTGTCAAATAATTAATAAATTATTACTCTTTCAGGCTTCGCACTCGACAATTACTTTTAAAAAAGTAGCAGAAAGTAGCTTTAAATCTGAAAATAGTAGTAAAAAGTAGCAATCGAAAAATTAAAATTTGACGATTAAAAAAATCTCGTTTTAATCGAATCACAAAAAATTGATTGAGAATAATTTTTTTTCAATCATTAGAGGATTTAAACTAATGTAATTTGTGAAAATGTATCTTTTAGTGTCAGAAATTTGACAAAAAAAGGAGTAAATAGTATAGATTTTAGTAGATGAGTGCGAAGCCTGCTTTTTTATATATTACCCCAGTGAGAAATTGCCAATAGACTTTAATCGGTCCAATATCGGTCCAATATTGGTTGCCGTGCTGGGCGCCGATTGACTCCCAATATTGGACCAATATGGGCTGATGCTTGGGATGTAACGGCATCGCCAATCATCGGTTGTCAATATTGGTCCAATATTGCGTCGTAATGGGAGAAAAAAAGACGCAAATATACGTTTGCTGCATTCTCTCTTATTACAACGCAACGCAAAACGCTGCCATGGGACTGCGGCCTAAGGGTGCAATCCCATTACAGCAGAATACGTCGACCGAAAACAGAAAATCATGAGTGCGAAAGAGATAGATAGATATTGTTGTTCTTTTCACTCTCATGATTTTCTGCTTTCGGTCGACGTATTCTGCTCACATGGGATCGCACCCTCTTAAGCTGCGGTTACACCTCTGCAGGCTGCCTGCCTGCGCAGGCAGGAGCAACGAGAGTAAGAGAGAAGTTTGAAGTCACTGACTCTCTTACTCTTGTACGTTACCATGACAACCTGCAGGCAGGCAGGCTGCCTGCAGAGGTGTAACCGCAGCCTTAAAAATGGGACAAAGTATCGAGATCCGATTCTCATAAAAAAATAAATCGATTCTTGTGGAATCGAATCGAATCGTCTATCCCCCCTCTACTACTGCTTCGTGCTTGCCGTGCTTGCCTGCCTTGCAACGTGGTTAAATTCATTACGAGTGCTGTCAGTGAGTCAGTTAGTCTATAACCTGTAAATCCTTGTTTATTATTATTTCTTTCATTTAAGTAATTAGACATATAAATTTTGCAATCGTGTGTATTGTAAGAAGTAATTAGAGATGCTATGTGCAATAAAGGATACGCATTAAATTTTGACGAATTTAGTTTTGTCAAACATAAATTGTGTTCTATGTATTAATATTCAGTAGATTTGTTTTTCGTTGCCTGTGTTATTTCCACTTCGTATTTAAAACATGCATTACGTTGTTCACTTTGTCCACCTCCTCTTGAGGTGTAAATAGTTTACACTAGTGTGGGAAACGAAAACAAACCTATTTATTTCACATCGCCGCTCCCGTCGGTAAATTGTTTATTCGAATATCAGCATAATAACAAAATGTTAACTCATTAATATGTGCTATATACCTACTTTTTAATTTGTTATGTAACATAATGTTTCGCTGTAAAAAATTTTCGTTTAAATTTTCTACGTCGAACGCAGGATATGAGAATTATGTTTACTGTGTCCAGAGTGTGATTTCACACAAGAAGGTATGTTTTGTACACACACAACTTGTATATTTTTTTAAATTTCAGATACTTTGAATTTCTACATTACCATATATTTTCTATAAATCTATAAATTACTACACTTTTTCCTAGTTATTTAGAAAAAAATATAAAATTTATTGAAAAATAAAAAGTTTAGAAAATGAGACACGGCATTTTTCTCCAACTTTTCAACTTTATGTTGTAATTCATTATAATGTCTTAAAAGTTGTAAAAATAATTTTGCAACACTATACATGTCAACATATTTTAGTTCGTTTAAAATTTAAAAGTGTGAACAACTAAACAATTCTGGAGACAATGATGTGCTTTACAAAAATAACTGAAGTTATATTTTTAAAATTGTTGGATTTTAATATAACTTGGTATTGAGTTTTTTTGTTTCTAATTACAAAGCTGTACGTTTTTAATATGCAGGACTAATGTTTAAAACATTATTGAAACAAGAATTTTGAAAAATGAGTCTGCCAATCCACTACTTTAAATTTAAAAAATTAGTCAACAAGCCTAAATTTTTAATTTTTTATGAAAACTTAACACTGCGTCTATACGTCCGACTAGCCGGATAAAAAAATTTGTCCGGGTACTGTTAGCCGGACGCAATAAATTCGTCCGGATACTGTCTAGCCGGACGTTTTGCTGCATAACACAGCTGGGTCTAAACGTCCGGCTTGTAAAATACTAACTAAATAGCCGGTCAGCCGGATAAAATGTTTAGAGTCTAAAACGTCCCGATAAATTAATGAAAGAAATTTTATCTGTATATAGTAAAAATGAAACTGAAGTTAACAATGTTGATTCAACGAAAAAATGTTTCTCTGAAAAGTTCAGGATACAAATTTTTCTTAATAAAATTGTTCATGTAAACGATGGGGAAACATTAGTTCGTATTTTTTTGTGACGGATTTTCTAAAAATCACGAAATTTCAACTAAAACCAAAATTATTGTTTCTTTGCCTTGAAAGCAATTTTTTTCTTTTCACGATTATCTATTTTAATGTCAGAAACCATTTAGAAAAAATTTCAAGAGGATGTAAGGCAGGGAATGCAGTGAATTTGAATTTTTTTTTTTCACAGATTTGACGAAAATTCCGAAATTTCAAATAAGTTGTTAATTTATTTTAATTAATTAGTTTAATTAATTTTCTTGACTTGGAAGCAATTTTTTTCTTTTGATAATTATTTATTTTAATATCAGAAGCAATTTTAAAAAGATTTTAAGAGGATCTAAGGCGGGGAAAGCAGTGATTTTGAATTTTTTGTCGTAGATTTTCCAAAAATCCCGGAATTACAATTAAAAAACAAAAATCACTTCTTTCCCCGCCTTGAATCCTCTTGGACTTTTTTAAATGCCTTCTGACATTAATATGTTAAGTCTAAATGTAATAAAATATAATTTATTTAAATAAAATAATTTTTTTGAAGAAGAGTAATAGATAAATGTTACAGTTACTATAAAAGTTTAATCAAAATTATAATGTTGAATAATTTGAAACCCGTGTAATCCTGAAGAAGATGAAAATTCAACTGGTAAAATTGTTATATATTCTATATTATCTAGTTGTCATTTATTCAAATGCTGAATTTTTCAAAAGGTAACTTATTAAAATATTTATGTTATGCAAAACTTTATTTTCTCGAACCATTATTAACTCAAATTACCATAAAATATATTTTTTAATGTTTATAAAAATGTCATATGGCATAATGTTTACTGTAACAAATGTTAATTGCAAATAATTTTTTTATACTCGAATTACCACTTTTACAATGTTAAAAAATCCAAATGGAGTTTTAATCTAAAAAAATTGACTACCAATTATTATTACAATAATTGACTATAATATTTTATAATGAAGAATAGTCAATTCTTTAACATTGTAAAATTGGTTATTCGAGTATAAAAACATTATTTGCAATTAACATTTGCTACAGTAAACATTCTGTCAAATGACATTTATAAAATAATATTAAAAAATATATTTTATGGACATTTGAGTTCATAAATGTTCGAGAAAATAAAGTTTTGCATATCATAAATATTTTAATAACTTATCTTTTGAAAAATTCAGCATTTGAATAAATGAATAAATTTCAAATTATTCAACATTATAATTTTGATTAAACTTTTATAGTAACTGTAACATTTATATAGAACTATTACTCTTCTTCAAAAAAATTATTTTATTTAAGGGTTAACACCACTCTAGAGGCAGAAAAGAAGACCAATTTTTGATGATTTGTTTTGGGAAAATGAAAAAAGGAATAGGTTTTCTTTTTGGAGGGTTTGTTAAATACATATTGAAGTGTAGAAAAAAATTTTTATTTTAAATTTTATAACAAAATGGCGACGATAAATTTTATAGTAACAATCGACTAATCTTTTTCTTAACAAAACGTCCAGAAAGAGTTTTTGAAAAGTTCAAGTCCTGGAACAGAAAACAAAGAAATTTCATGATGTATATAATATACACGGAGAAAAATATAAAATAACTTTTACTACTTTTATAGAAAAAAATTTCCGGTAAATTTTTTACTATAAAAGTAGTAAAAGTTATTTTATATTTTTCTCCATGTAAACTTTGGAAGTGCATAAGGGTTTTTTATATATCAATTTTTGTAAAAATCGCGCACTTTTGGGTACAATAATCGATTTTTTGCCAAAGAGTAATAAAAAGTAAATTGTTTATAAAAAATAAAGTTTACATCAAATTAAAAAATCTGTATGTAGTTCCAAAGTTTATAGTATTTAGTTTGTAAAATTTCTTTACTTTTTGTTCCAGGACTTAAACTTTTCAAGAAACCTTTCCGGCCATAAAAAATAGTCGATTTTGAATATGAAATTTACCGCCGCCATTTTGTTATATAATTTTAAAAAAAACTTTCCACACTTCAATATGTATAATTAATAAATCCTCCAAAAAGAAATCCAATTCTATTTTTCATTTTCTCAAAATAAATCATCAAAAATATAGGTCTCTTTTTCTGGCTCTAGAATGGTGTTACCCTTAAATAAATTATATTATTTAGTAAATGCGAATCGGATAATTTGCTTATTTGCTGAAAAATAAATTCTATGATAAACTCACTTCATTAACATTTAAAACTTTTTAAATGGATAAAACTACGATTAGAACTTTTTAAATTCCGGAAATATACAGGCGTCCCAAAATATTTTTGTGAACAATAATTTTTTTAAGACTTACAATCTTTAAAAAATATTGTATTCTTAATTTATAGACATTTTTTAAATAAATAAATAAAAAAAAGATATATACATAAATAAATGTTAGTCTTCTATTTACATTATTTATTTAACAAATATGTGTTTGTAAACTCTGCATAGAATATATTTTGATGTTTATTTATCTGAAAAAAATTTATTATAAAATATTTTTTGTAAATATTTATAAAAAAGCAAAAAATTAACAGAGTGTCTATTTGGCCCGTCAGCGGGCCAAATAAGTTACTACTTTTATTATTTGGCCCGTCACCCCAGTTCCATACATTTCAAGACGGGCCAAATAAAAAAAGTAGTTTATTTGGCCCGTCAGATAACAAATTAGCTGTAATTAATAACAATAGATTATTATTATTACTATTTTTACAAATAGATTAATTTAATCACCAGGTACTATTTTTTACATGAATTTGACAGGTAATGTAATAAGAAAATTCTTCTTAAAAATTTTAATAAAATTCTTTGAAACGATTGAATTATTTTTAAAAAACAAACGAATTTTTCACAAAAAAATAAATTATTTTAGCAAATAATCAAATTCTCTAAAACTCAATTAGTTTAAAAATCTACTATTTTAATACAATTTCACGAAAGAATTTAATATTATTTATAAACAAAATTTTGATAAAATTCTACGTGAGGTGAGAATTCAATTATTTTCATAAATAAATACATTTTTCGCAAGAGTTCAATTATTTTTATAAATAAAAAAATTATTTTCAGAAATTCAGTTATTTTAAAAAATTTAAATAAAATCCTTCTCCAACATTGAATTATTTTTATAAATATTAAAATTTTCACAGCAATTATAACTCTAAAAAAATTTTATAAAGTCCTTTGGAAGAATTCATAAACAAAATTTTAAGAAATAATTAAATTAAAAAAAATCGCACAAATCCAAGACTTTCTCATTTTTTTATGAGAATGTAAAAATTGTATACTTCGGAAATTTTCATTATTGTAAAAATAATATTTTAATTTTTATATTTTTAAAAAGTTAAATTTTAGAATAATTACAGTTAAAGTGAGAAAAAGTGAAATTATTGAAAAAGTAAATAAGTATTTAAATATTTATTTAACTATGAATAAAAATTAGCCTTTTCAAGAAAAGCAATTGAAATTTTTTTTAGTTAAATTCCCGTAAATAATTTTAAAAAATGAAATTGGAAATTGGAAATTTTCATTGATATTTTATGATTTATGATTCATTTATATTTTAAAGAATTTTATTGTTTACTTTTAAAAATTATTTTTAAATATAATTTATAATATTATGTACTAAATATGTTTATAATTTGCATCTTTACTTTGAGGTTAAAATATACATTACCTGCATGTCAAATTCATGTAAAAAATAGTACCTGGTGATTAAATTAATCTATTTGTAAAAATAGTAATAATAATAATCTATTGTTATTAATTACAGCTAATTTGTTATCTGACGGGCCAAATAAACTACTTTTTTTATTTGGCCCGTCTTGAAATGTATGGAACTGGGGTGACGGTCCAAATAATAAAAGTAACTTATTTGGCCCGCTGACGGGCCAAAT